TCTGTGCCACCAGACCTGACAGCGCTTTGATGGCTGCGTTTTGCCTCCTGCAGCACAGGCCCGCGTCAGGCTTTTCGGCAGAGATCAGCTCTGACTCCTTGTCAGACTAAAAACCTACCAGTGCCTGATCTTGGCAAAGGACACAATTTCAACCTTTCTCATAATAAAGGTTTGGGGTTTTTGTTTTGTTTTTTAATTTAAAGTGCCTGGGTTTCAGCAGAATCAATTCAAGAAACAGAGTGTTAAACTGTGCTGAGGAATGTGTAACAGAGTCCTGGAGCTGGTGGTAGAAGAGTAACAAACTCCAGTGGGAAACAGAGGAATTTTGCAATAATTAGAGCTAATTAGTAACTAGAACATGGCTGGAGAATGGCAGGTGTGTTAATTCAGACCAGCTGGATGGCAGCACCTCTTCTATATTCCCAATTACAAACCAACGGGAACCATAGCCTGAATTTTCATAGCCTGGTATAGATGCCTGGACTGAAATCTTTGGAGTTGGATGTGAGACGAACCATATTCTTTTGTGCCAATTTTCTGATATTTCCACCTGATTTATTTCCTGTTTCAAATGTGCCCAGGCCGTGTGCTATGCAAGCTGCTCTGCTCAGGGGAGAAGGAGGTGGATCTGGCTGTGCAGAGTGCAAAGGCTGCCTTTCAAATATGGAGTCAGATGTCTGGCATGGAGCGGAGCAGGGTGATGCTGGAGGCCGCCAGAATTATTCGGGTATGTTGTGGGGAGCTTGCCTCCTCTCTTGGAGAGGAGTGGTTCTGTCTGACAGCTTTCTTGTGGGTTCATGTGGCTATTGGGGGCTTCCAGCAGCGCTTCCAGAGCTCCAGGAGGAATGCAGGAGTTACAACCCACCTTTGACCAGAAGAGATAGTAGGTTGCCTTGGGTGGGGCTTTGGTCTTATTACTGCATTCGAGGTGTGTACTTTCTCTGTTTACACAGAATCACAGAATGTTGGGGATTGGAAGGGACCTCAAAAGATCATCCAGTCCAATCCCCCTGCCGGAGCAGGAACCTAAATGAGATCACACAGGAAGGCGTCCAGGCGGGTCTTGAATGTCTCCAGAGAAGGAGACTCCACCCCCTCCCTGGGCAGCCTGTCCCAGGGCTCTGTCACCCTCACTATAAAGAAGTTCCTTCTCAAGTTTAAGCGGAACCTCTTGTGTTCCAGCTCACACCCATTGCCCCTTGTCCTACCATTGGGCATCACTGAGAAGAACCTGGCTCCATCCTCATGACATTCACCCTTAGAAGACATCAAACTGAAGCCATCCACTTGAGGTTTTGCAGAGCTTGTACTTTTCACAGCTCCGAAGATGAAGCTTCACTGCACACAGTTTCAAAGCTGAAGTTGCGTAACTGGCACATTGTTGAACTTTCAGCTGTTGTCACGTGACTGGAGAGTGTCTTGTCTTAACAACAAAAGAATGTAGGAATGTTAGTTTTTATCTGAGGCACCAGATAATACACATGGGGAAGAGAGGATACAGATAAGCTAGCTTTATCACAAATTGCTTTGTGAGATAAGATATCCTTGGACATCGAAGTTAATCCCCATGGAGACGCAGATCTGGAAGAAAACAGACCTTTTTTCCTCCCAGTGTGTATATGTGATGAGAAAACTCTTTTCTTTTCTGCCAAACTGCTGCTTTTGCCAGACTTCTGCAGCAGGGTAATATTTCTGCCCAGGAGATGGTCTGTTAAAGGACGTTTCCCAGCTGTGTAGCTTTGTCTGTCCTTCACTGAGTCCTCTGGATCCATTTGGAACCTACTGTTTGCTGTTCCCCCCCCAGTTTAGTTCTGTGAATTCTAATCACTGTTTGCCAGCTGGCTCCTAAGTTCAGGTTTGCTCATCTTTTAGATAAGCAGGGATGTTAAGCAAGACTGGACTAGCAGTGAAACCCAGCGGCTGTCTGTTTGATATCCCACTGGAAAACTGATCAATAGCAATTGGGACTTTACTTTTTAGAGATGACAGTTTCTCATGGCTGAGCCTGGCTTACTGATGGCAGAGCCTTGTTTGGGACTTGCATGCTTGAGAAGCAGCTATCTCTTTGTGGAGTTCTACTCCAGGCTTCTCTAATATGTTGTCACTGTCCTGTGCCTCTCAACAGGAGCAGAGAGAAGAAATTGCCACCTTGGAAACTGTCAACAATGGGAAATCCATCTTTGAAGCCAGAGTGGACATCGACATATCCTGGCAGTGCCTGGAGTATTACGCGGGACTGGCGGGATCTCTAGCTGGTGAGAACGTTACTGGAGTTTGCTCTTTACTCTCTGTCCTGCCATTTGTGTTCTTCCATGGCACAAACCCACCTTTGCCGTTGAGTTCTCTAAGATATGGACTACTCCTTTTTCTGAGGATTTTGGAAGCATTTTCAGAGATCTCTTACCAAATGCTTCTGTGCTCTGTGGACACTTATGCACCTTCTGTGGGCTTGCTGGGGAAAGAGACGTGTGTCTCTGTTCCCAGTCAAAGTGAGGTCTGGCCCCTGAGGTTCTGATAAGACAGGAAGGGGCTTTGCTCTTCTCTACCTTCTGGCTGATTTTTCCTCTTTGCAGGTGAACACATCCAGCTTCCTGGGGGATCCTTTGGGTACACTCGGAGAGAGCCCCTCGGGGTGTGTGTTGGGATTGGAGCCTGGAATTACCCTTTCCAGATTGCCTGCTGGAAGTCTGCCCCGGCCTTGGCTTGTGGTAATGAGACACTCATTAAATAGTAGGTTTTACTGTTTTAAAGAGAAGCCTGTGCAAGCTTCTCTTTAAAACCAAATGATCCTGCGGGGGAGAGTGATTTGGGGGATAAAGTCTAGGATTACCTTGAAGGAGGTGTTGAAGGATTAGCAGAACCTTCAGGCTGCTGCTCTGTCAGGAATGGACAGGAAATGGAAGTAGGAGCAGACAGATGCTAAGAGGGTGGGAGTACCTCAAGGAAAAGGCTGATTGCTTGGCTTGGTACCAGACAAGGAAGGTCTCTGGAAGTGCTGGCAGTGCAGGACTAGCATCTCTATCTCCCCCAGCCTGAAGCTGCAGTTCTTCCCTTTCACTGGTTGCAGTGTTGAGCTGAAACTGCTTTCTCCTCTCACGGCAGGGATCTTGTAGGATCTGTTGAGACAAACTCATTGTGTGGGGTGGGGTTTTTTTGGTTGGTTGTTTTTTTGTTCTCTTCCCTAAAGCAGTTTGGTGTTAACTCCACCTTGCCTCTGTCTGGGTTCCCCTAGGCAATGCGATGGTCTTCAAGCCCTCTCCCTTCACGCCCGTTTCAGTGGTGAGGTTGGCAGAGATCTTCACAGAGGCTGGGGTGCCCAAAGGGCTCTTCAACGTTGTGCAGGGTGGAGCGGCCACAGGCCAGTTCCTCTGTCATCACCCAGATGTGGCCAAAATCTCTTTCACTGGCAGTGTGCCAACTGGCATCAAGGTAAAGGCACCTTCACGTTTGGGAACACAAGAAGTCTGTAGTACCAGCCTTCCTGGTGTGCTGCAGACATCGATACCACCTTGAGCTTTCGTGTGTGAGGCTTGTAAAGATGGGGTGTGAGGCAGCATTTCTGGGGCTGAGCAAGGAGCTTGTATGTACAGGGTTACACTGGGGTTCCAGTTAGCCTACCTGGCACAGGCTTGGGCACTCTGTCTTTCAGAGGAGCCCCTTGGTCATCTTCACTTGTTTAGCCTCTTGTTGCAGTGAAGTCTCTGAGCTCCTAAAGTGGATATCTGTGTGGGGAGGAGGGTATGTAAAAAAGAGCAGCACTGGAAAAATGTGTGAGGTTTTCTGGCACTAATAGTTTGATTTAGCCATGTACAACCTACTGTTTTTAAGCAGGAGGTTAGTTTCTGTGAATTTCTAACTCTCAATTTATTCTAAAAAAAAAACCCCCAAAAAATCAAAAGTCCCTAAAAAGACTTTTAAAAATAAATTCTTATTTGAAAGATGGGGAATGTTGCCCCTTGAACTCTCCTTACATGTGTGTTATCTGTGAGGTGCAGTGTCACAGATGCTGCCCTCTGGGCTTACACTGAGCAGGAGACTTCCTGCAAATGATTCCTCAGGTTTTGTTGCTTTTATCTTTTAAAAAAACAACCCCCAAACCCTGTGTAACTGTCCACAGTCTGAACTAAACACAGCTAGGAGACCAAGCTTGCCCTTCATGGTGAAGGGCCCTGCAGGAACTCTCCCCTTGGGTCTCTTTACCTCCCTCCACCAGCCTCCTACTTACCAGTGGGTCACTTGTCTCTTCTGTCCTCATTTCCCTCAGATCATGGAGATGGCATCTAAAGGGATCAAACCAGTCACCCTGGAGCTGGGGGGCAAATCCCCCCTTATCATCTTTTCAGACTGTGCTTTGGAGAACGCCGTGAACGGAGCCCTCATGGCCAACTTCCTCACACAGGGCGAGGTGTGTGTCCGTGGGGCAGGAGCAGTCCTCCCTGGTGTGGTGGGGTGGTTTGAGAATTGGGCAGCAGAGCCAGCCTGTGACCTTGCTTAGTGAGGGATGCCCTGAAGCTCCCATCTTGCAACACGTTTCCCTCTGCAGTGTCACAAGGGATCAGAAAGGATGCCCGTGCAAAGCCAGTGTAGGGCATCCCAGCAGAGTGTGCCTTACCTGATGCCCTGTCCTTCCTGGAAGCAGAGCCTCCCTAGTGCCCAGTCCCCAGCTCAGCAGATGCTCCTGGGCTCCAGTCTGGCACGGAGGTCAGAGAGGCTGTGCTGGTGTCCTCTGGAGGGCCAACAGGTTCCAGTCTAGTGCACTGAGCCACAGCCCCGTGGGGCTCTGTCTGTCCCAGATTTGGGATCTCTACGTGTGCTGCAGGTTTTGTGTAATCTTGCTGGTAAATTGGCTTACTGGGGTCATCCCTGGGAACTCAAAAGGTGCCATGTTCTCTTCTCTTGGTGACTTGATGCATTTTTGCCACCTGGTGGCATCACTACCACTATGTCCAGCATGGACTGACTCTTCAGTGCTGTCATGAGCAGCAGAGTAGTCTCAACTTCTTTGTCCCAGGAAAAGTTAGCTGTTTTAGCAGCTGTGGAGGGGCTTTTCTGAGAGCCTCTGTAGCAAGACCCAAGCAGGGAAGGACTGTGGGGTGCTGTGTGTCTGATTTTGAGCAGCCTGTCCTGTGTCCCAGGTATGCTGCAACGGCACACGGGTGTTTGTGGAGAGGAAGATACTGGATGTTTTCACAAAGGAGGTGGTGAATCGCACCCAGAAGATTAAAGTTGGAGACCCGCTTCTGGAAGACACACGGATGGGAGCTCTCATCAACCGGCCCCACCTGGATCGTGTCCAGGGCTTTATCAAGCAGGCAAAGGAGCAGGTGAGATTTAGATGCTGCCTTGTGATGACCCTAAAATGTCTTTTTTTTTTTTTCCTAGCTAGACAAACAGACTGGCAGCTGCTTTCCTGCCCCATGCCTTCACAGTTAAGCTGTTTCTTTTTGTTGTGGTTGAATTACTCATTAGTGTTTTGGGTGACTAGATTAAAAGTGACCCCATGCACATCTCTGAATCAATACTGAAGGTGGTGTGGCTTTCTGTATCCTGATGTTGCCAAGTTTTAGAGGGGGTGAGATACCCAGCACAGCTGTGTGTGAAATGGGAGAATCCATACACTTGGGCTGGTTTCTCTTTTGTAAGTTGTGGTGACACCTCGCATGCTCGGCTGTTACCTCCTTTGGGTTCCAGTTGTGTTGGCTGCAGAAGGAGCTCACTAAAGATCACAGGCCAGTTTTACAGGCTGCTGGAAACAATCTCTGTAAGAGCAATAAGATCTACCCAGGCTTTTTTGCTTTTTTTGTTCTCCAGTTTTTATTGTAAAGTGGAAAGATGTTTTAAATGTCAGCATTAGATAAATGACTACATGTAGCTAATTTAGGGATGGGCTGGAGAAGGGGAATTGTCAGTGAAAGCCTGGAGGGCTAGGTGAGGATTTGGAAACAGGAAGAGGGATGTGGAAGGAGAGGAGAAATCCCCATCTCTAAAGCAGGGCATTTGGTGGAGGTGGGTGTTTCTTGCCAGGTGGTGTGCTAAGGGGCTGATTGACTGGCTAATGAGGGAACTCACACCATGTGAAGGTGTGGAAGTTAATGTGATGCCAGCTGAGGATCTGTTCCTAGTTATAGTTGCTTCCCTCCAACCTGCACTGGCCCCTGTGTCACTTGTACCCTAAACCAGCATTTTAGGATAGGTCTCACCCCTGACCCTGATGTATCAGTGATGCTCTGTCAGCAGTCCTGACTTGGAGAGACACCAGGAAGGGCACAGGCACAGTTTATCCAATAGGACTGTAAACCCAGCAGGGAGTATCAGCCAGCTGGAGCTGCAGCAGCTGGGTAGGGTGTCCCTGGACCTGCCTACCTCCCTTCTGCTTGGCTCTTTTCCAGGGGGCACAGGTGCTGTGTGGTGGGGACCTGTATGTGCCAGATGACCCAAAGCTGAAGAATGGCTACTACATGCGACCCTGTGTGTTAGGTATGATCCTTCTTATTTGTGGTACTGTGGAACTTCTACGTGGATGTTCATAGAATCATAGAATGGCTTGGGTTGGAAGTGACCCTTAAAGGTCATCTAGTCCAGCCCCTTATTGCTGAGCTTCCTCTCGAGAAAGCTGTGTTCAGCATAACCTCTCTCTGTGTCTGTCCATGGTGTGGGCAGGCGCTCGTATGGGTGTGCTAGAGAGAGCAGAGGCACCCAAGAACTGCATCCAGAGAAATCTTGGATGTTGGAAGGTCTGACAGGGCACATGCAGTTAGTGCCTTTGCTGCCTTCAGATGCAGGGTGGGACTTGCTCCTCTGCTCTCTGAGCTGGGGGAGTTGTGAAGTGCTGTCTCAAAGGCTGTGTGGGTTGCTGAATGCCCAGGCTGTGCTTTTAACTCTCCTCCTGAAGCACTCGTGCTCTGCCATGCTTCCAGGGAACTGCACGGATGACATGACATGTGTGAAGGAGGAGATCTTTGGGCCTGTCATGTCCATTCTGCCATTTGACACGGAGGAGGAGGTTGTGGAGAGAGCAAACAACACTAAATTTGGCCTGGCAGGTGGTGTCTTCACCAGGT